GCCATGAAACAAAACTGCCCTTCAAGGTAGTTTTATCTTATCATATCTAGATGACAAGCTAAACTTAGAAATCTGTCTCTAAAAATCATTATTGCTCTAGCTTTAGCACTCCTGTTGAAAACTGAGTGCTTTTTCAAGACACATAGTACTTCCATTTTTGGTAGGATAATAGTTTTCATACTTTTTTGGACAATTACAGTTGAGTTGGCTGAATTGTGGAAACACAGTTAACGTATTCATATATTTTTAAATGCTTATAGTATCATTGCTTTTATTTTTTTTCCATAAAATGGTAGCTTGAGAGACTTGTCTTTTTGGAATTAATGACCATGAATTATTTTATTTTATTTTTAACCAAGATAAAATTTGATTAAACTGAAGGAAATTTGGAGGCACTTACATTTTTCAGAGAGCTACTCATTCCTACTTGGTCCAAGAAAATGAGTAATAGAATCACTATGTTGCTTCTCCATCTACGGGATAGTCAGAGTTAGTAGTAATTTCTATAAATCTCTGATGAGTGTGATGGTTATACAGATTCAAAGACCTTTCTGTCTGTGGTCATAAAAACTACTGATGTCATGCAAAAAGAATGCATCCTCTCCCTTAATTTCTCTTTCTCTCCTTTTTTTTTTTTTTTCCTTCAGAAAAATTTAGGCTTGCTGGAGATTTTTTCATCCTGAAATAAAAATATAAAACTAGATTTGCAATGAACATTTTTTCCTAATTCAGAAGCTTAAGCTCAGTTCTACTCAATACAACACTTCAGTGTAAAGAAAAGCTGTGGGAATCTTGTAGATGAACTAAAAATTAAACTATTTTTTCTCATTTAGCATCTAGTTGGTGCTAAACCCTCTTATCCTTCTTGCCATCTCCCTCCCTTCTGTCAAATGTTTATCAATTCTTTGTTTTATTTGAGAATGCAGACCTAGAATAGGTATAAAACAAACAGAAAATAATCCTCTTCACCTTCCAATAATGTGGCATAGAGATTTCTTAAGTCAAATGTGATCTGTTTGGGTTTAATAACTCTTTCTGTTTTCTTTTCTTCCTCAAATTTAACCTACAGCCAACACACACCAACTTCTAAAGTACCGACAAGCTCAGCTTTTGTCTGCATGCTGTGAAAAAATAACCTCTTTTATTCTGTTCTGAACCTTCCAAAGCGTAGTTTCATTTGATGCCATCTTGTATTAGAAGAGAAGAATGAATAATCATTTTTCATTCATCTCATTGCTACTCATGATTTTGAAGACTTGTATCTTGCTCTGCATGCTGAACAAGTGTAGCATATTTAACTGTTTCTTGCACAGAACTTGTTCTGTACTTTGAATCATCTTTCTTTCCTTTTTTCATTTTTTTCAGCACTGTTATATCTCTTTTTGAAATGGGAAGGAGAGAGCTGCAAATGATATTTGTTGTACTGTTTCTCATGGGTTAATAAAAGATATAATTTATACTGATGCTCTGTCTTCCCTTCCTGGTATTGTCTAACATTCATTTTACTTCTTTAAACTAATATATTTGATGTTTTCACGGTATTATTATACTTTTTCCAGGATATTTTTTCAGAATTTTATCAATTCGGAGTTCATACATTTAAGAGTATATTGAACAGTAAGGGCCCCAGGGAGGATTCTTGTAGGATTCAAGCTAATTTTAATAATTTGTAGTTTCCCCCTATTCTTACTGGAACCGTTGTTTTAGAGATCATATTAAGTATCACACCCTCTTCATGTTGTGGTCCTGCTGGTGTGTTAAGTGAAAAGCCTTATCACTATTATATTTCAGTTATTTGATCCATGAGTTCCTTTAGTAACCTTTGAGGGAATGTCATCTCATCCTGAAAATTTGTTTATGTCCATTTTGAAAGTCTTTTATCTTAACCTCTTGCTCTCTAGATGTGTTCCTTGGTGTGTTCTTAAACACAAGGCTTGTGATATAGATATTTTGCTTTTTCCTTTCCTGGTGCACTTCCTGTAAGCCTCCAGAGTGGTGAAGGCAAATATTTTACAGTTTGCCTTTTTGCAGTTTAGTCGTCCTAGCTTTTAGGCATTGGCTCTTCAGTTCTTTCTGGACCTGCTTAGAGTAACTCTTTGGTAGCAAGTTAGAACTTTATCTAGCACAGAGCTAAAGAACAAATTAAGAGTTTCCTGAAATCCCTCAACATCACTGTTCTTTGAAATAAAGCATTTCAGGTGTAGGCAGTTTGACTCTGCCATTAGTACATCATAGTACAGGTAGTGTAATCAGGGTATTTTTAAACATCTACCACTACTACCCTCTCAACGAGCACCACTTACTACCATATTGTCTTCTCCACTGGGGATAGATGCAGCCTTGTTTCAACTACAAAGCTAGGATCCTTCTTATAACAGCATTATAACAGTTACAGTTGCCTTCTCAGATATTTATTTTCTTTTTCCTATATTGACTTGAATACATAATTTCTGACAAACATTGACTTGGAGTGAAAAAAGATATGTGATAGGAATTTTTTTTAGAGCTTGAGTTACCCATGACAGAGTGCTAATATGCTCTCCTAATGTGCTAATGTTCTGCACTGTCACAGAGTATCTGTGAGATGATGGTTAGTTAGCACTGACAGCTCTAAAAAGCACTCTTCTTCTTTCTGTCCTCAGGTAGAACTTATTATCTGCATATTTAATTTGACTGAGAAAATGTTTATGACTTACATGTTTGTCAGAGTGAAGAAAAATGTATTAAAACACCTCATTCATGTTAATATTGTACATATTACTCTTTAAAATTATTGAATGAGCTGCTGTAGAATTTGGAACGTTAAGAAATGATATAATGTATATATGAACCATTTAGCTTTAATTATGATTATGTCTGTGTGTTTCTCAGGGTAATTTTAATTCAACAATTTTAAGGTAATATAAAGTGCACACATGAAATATAGCTTTTTAGGAAGAGACTTACTATTGAGTAGTCTAAAGGAATCTACAAATGAGAATAACTCTAGCATGATATTCTGCCAAAATAAGTCTTTAATTTTTTCTTAGAAGTGTATCTTTCCCTCTCCTCCTCAAATCAGAAACAGTTTTGTAGTGAGAAAAGTTGGTATCAGTGAATGAAAAATGGAAGCAGCAATGCACTTTAGACATTTGGCTTACAAAACATTAGTTTAACTAATGGAGAAACATAGGTTAAGTAGTCAGGGTGATGAAAGATTTATTGAACTTACCATCTGGAAAGATTAATTGAATACATTCAGAAGGTCTGCTAGTTTTTGAACAAATTCAAGTGAAAAGGCTTCACCTTCATGTATCCATGACAATATCACCATATTAAAACAAACAAACAAACAAAAAGAAGAATCTAGATTCCCTATTTTCCTTGAGTCTAGCAAAGACCATCTGCTAATATGATCCAAAAGCCATTCTTGTGAGCATTTATATGAAGAAATACTGTATCTGAGGTAAAGATGCTGCTAAACTAAATTGGGAGCCCAGAAGATTAAATTTTGGTGGCCTAAAAAAGGCTGAGGAAAGACTATTTTCCATCCCTTCCCTGCCATTCAGAACGATTTGTGTTATAACGTTGTGTGTGATGCTGTCTAGGGGTGCTCGGTAGCTAAGGCTTTGCTTTTCTAATGGAGGGATCACAAATGGAAAATTATTGCCCTTTTTTAACTCTGAGTTTCAGATATTGGAGTTGGGTGTTGGCTCTGGGGCATGCTGTACATAGCAGACATCTAATGTGTAAGGCTAGCTGCTTCGTCTCTTTTCTCTACAAGAAAGCAAAAGGGAGAAAGCAGTTGTGGCCTGGCTTCTGCATTTGCAAAAGTGTATAAGCTGCCAAGTGCCTTGTTTCTGACAGGGTTAATGAACTGCGGGGTACTGGGGGGAGCAGGATGGTCGGTGCTTGGGCTGCCCACACAGAGTGCCTGGCAGGCTCTGCTTCACACGATGGCCATGAGATTGCAATTTGAATTGGAGATGAACTAGTCCCGTCATAAACTGCCTTCTCTTCTTGGCTCGATTCCTCATGTGCATTCCTTGTCCCACACCCCCACTTGATGATTGATCTAAGTTTTTAACTCAGCCTCGAAATGCCTGTGCCTCCTCCACTCAGAGCCAGGCTTAATCTTCCTTTTATGGTTGGAGTTCACGTGGGCTTTATCATTATATTTTTCTTGTAACCTTTCCACAAAGAGAGATTTTTGTTCTACTGTAAGGTCTTATGTTGTTATTCTAATTGCTGCAGCTGATTTGATAATATCCAAGGTTCAGGGTCATACACTGCTAAAGCTTATTGCAGAAATGTAATGGCAAAGACAGTGTTCGTTCCAGTTCTAACAGCCTTTTGACAATAGATCTCTCTCATTATATTCTGTATTTGCAATTATCTTCCCTGTTCTCCTCTTACTTCTATTTGTTGGCTTATAGGGCACTCTTTATTGCCATGTAAGTTCATTGTATGATGAGAACTTTTTTGAAATTGCATAATTTATTATGTAATTATGAAGATTACATGCTCCTCAATAATAGCATGATGGTTAGTTAAAATAAAAACTTGAGCCAAACTTTCTTTGATAGTTTTGGGAAGCTACTTTTGTGATCCATCTGGCCTCCCCAGAACATTAAGTTATCATTGATCCATCACTGAGGAAAAAGACACTGCAGACAGTTGCATTCTAGTGGTTAGCACATAACTTTGAAATTTTCTACTGTAAAGAAATAGTTTATTTGCAGTTCCTTTTGTGGAGTTAAAGTAGGTATAAATTAGCACTGTTCTAGAGTCATATTTGAGATCATTTTATATGAAGTAAAGCAGTATTCCCAACATTATACTTTTAAAAAATATTTTATTTGTCCCAACCACTTATGTAAGATGTAAGATATCATATGTAGGAAGAAGGATTCTTGACAAACTAAACCAGGAGTTACATTTGTCTATCATTAACAACTGCTGTCTGGCTGAAGTCATATGTATGTGCTCGAGGAGTTGATTATATTCTTGTATGTCTCCAGGAATCCGTAAAGACCGCAGAGGCGGGCGAATGATGAAACAAAAACGTCAAAGAGAAGAACAGGATTCCAGGAATGGAGAGGCTTCTTCTACAGAGCTGAGAGCTCCCACCCTTTGGACAAGTCCACTTGTGGTTAAACACAACAAGAAGAACAGTCCGGCCCTGTCCCTGACAGCGGAGCAGATGGTCAGTGCCTTGCTGGAAGCTGAGCCACCCATAGTTTATTCCGAGTATGACCCTAATAGACCTTTCAATGAAGCCTCTATGATGACCCTGTTGACCAACCTTGCAGACAGAGAATTAGTGCACATGATCAACTGGGCAAAAAGAGTTCCAGGTAAGGAAAGACAGCCCCAGTGGACTGTAAATGCCTTAATTTGACAAATCATTCGAAAATCTACTATCTACCATTTTCCAATCTCCACATAAGATTTTAATTTCCTAATTTCACACAAACTGCATAAAAATAAATATATAAGTGCATAAAAGTATTATAAATTTGACGTTATCTTTGTTGGTAGATAACTATTTGGCAACAAAAGTGACTTTTAAAGGAAGATTTATTCAAAAAAAGTCTATTTATTGCAAACTGTAGAATGTGGTACAGTTTGGGGGATGCAAGTCCTTTTTTTCAGATGACAGACAGTAAAAGTCAAGTTTAGTAACAGATCAGAAAAGCTTAATCTAAACAATTTTATCTAATCTACCTGTGTTCGCTATTTTGATCCCTCTTGCTCAGATGTGTGTAATCAATACCATAAAATCATCTCTATTGATTCTGTAAATATCAGTATCTAGTAGTTATTTATTTTAATTGCCAGATTTATTGTTTTCACAACATTCAATCTTCCTTGTATTTCTAGTCTGAAAACTGAGAGAACAGCAGTTTGGTTTTTTTTTAATGAAAAAAAAGTTTTCCCACTGAAACTAAATATTTTTATTGCAATCATTTTGGTGTGTCATGGTTGTTTAGTTTTAACCTTCTTTTGTAGAAGGAAATTTTGGCATTGAGGAACTATGGTACATTTTTGGTTGACCATAAGTTACGTGTATGCTCATTATCTATTCTTTCATGCAGTTTAATTAATGTCAATGAAATGAGAAACTGTTTAATAATTAGCTTAAGTTCACCGTTTTTAAAGTTTTAAGTAATAACATGTTTGTCTGAATGCTAATGCTATCCTTAGAGCAAGTTTCCTCTTTGGGGAAGATCCTGTGCTTAGACCAACCTGATTAATTTAAATATAAGTTGTTTTAAGTAAAATCTGTGAGCTGTTTTTAACCTGGATTATTTCATTGACCCCCAAACCAGAATACTTCTCTACTTTTCCAGTTAGATAGCTGGTCTAAAAGAGCCAACTGAGGTTTCCTTCCACAAACCTCACTTTTTCATCGTTCCTAGATTTCATAACTGCTACAAACCAAATTATAAAGCAGATATGCTGGACTAAATGATCTACGAGTCATTTTTTGGTCACAGAATTTGTCTGCCATGACTGAAAATCAAAGTTGGGAAAAGATTCAATAACTTATGTGAAATGGTCTAGTTATCTCTGATCTACTACTTATGGAATTAAAGGAACACATTGCATTATGCTACCACAGTTGATATAGCTGGTGTCTATCCAAGCAATATGACTGAGGCATGAAGAGATTTTAAAAAGTCTCTGAAGTTCACCAAAACTGAAAGCCAGTCAGAGCCTAGTGAAGATTATGTTATTAATGTTGTTTTGTGGCCAAAAAAAAGCATTAAGTCTCCAGGGCTACTTGTCATAAATTAATGTGTAAATATTAATTAAAAATATATTGTACATCCTGTAATTTTAGCTTCCTAATAATAACAGTATACGTGGTAATTCAGACCTTGTAATTCTTTGGAATTCTGATCTCTTAAATAAGCATTTGTTTCATGAAAATTATGTAGCTGTTTTATGAAGGGATGTGAGAGAACTCTATCACAGCTTTCACAGCTTTACTGTTATGGAGCGCATTACCTCAACAGCATTTCCTAGGTTGTGCCATTTTCCTGTCCGTCTTTAAAATCTGGCAAGGCTCTTGCTGGTAAATCAATAACCCATAAAATCTGAGTCTTTTCCAGTCCTCATGGGTTCCCTTTTTACCAGTTTTCACATGTCACTTTGTGGGCTCCAGCTATGATCAATGAGAACCTCTGAGTGTTTTATTTCTCATCATATCTTGTAAGAAATCATGTGAGAATTTTATCCTTCACAAAGCTGCAGTGGTATGAATGTATGAAAAGAAAGAAGGTTTGATCCAAAATCTGTTCAAGTCAAGAGCATTTTTTCCTGTTAATTTAACACTTTGGATCATGCCTTCACAATACTCTTTAAAAATGAGTATATATCTATAGAGATTAAATCTATTTATAATCAAAAGAGGTAAATTCAAATGACTTCTCTACTGACTTTACACATACTTAATCTAATTCTCTTAAAGTCTAATAATTTACACCCAACATGAATATGCTACATTCTTAATTCATTATGTTGTCTAAATCTATTCAATCTGGAAACATTTGTATCCTATGACAGTTGATTTGGATAGTTAATGTAATTAATCAAAACGTGTTTACATACATAGTGACTGTGTTAGGGAACTATTCTTTATTTTTAGTTAAGCTACTTGTGAAATCTCCATGAAACTGCTTGTCATGGAGTGATTACATCTGGTAAAGATAAAAAAAAAAGTTTGGTTTACTAAACATATCTTTATTTCCAAAACAATCTTCTTAAATTTGATAAACAAATGCATAAGGATATCACGTATTTGTGTATATTCTATTTTACTTCTAAATAAATATTCCTGTCAAGTGCCAAATACCTCTTAAGAAGAAAATGAGAAAAATTACCTCTGTACGCACGTGAGTAAATACTCTAACAGGTGAAGTTTGGAATAAAACAGGTGAACCTGGGTCAAAAAATCCTTTCCCAGCCACAGTTTGATCTGTTAGGCTCTGTATGAAAAAACATGCAAATTAAAGTCCTAAAATGACAAAGACAATAATATGAATAATTTGGGGATGCTAAAAGATTGTGTTAGCTCAATACCCATCTGGCAAGGGTCATGGCTTGGATTACTATATGTGTGCCCAAAAGCAGAGCTTAAAGTGTTTTAGGGAAAAAAAAAAAAAAAAGAGGCCCAATAGAGACCCAAACTAGGTTCTCTACAAGGTAGCAATTTTTGGCCTGACTTTAAATCTTTTCTTAAATTTGTCACTTGGTCCTAGCAAGGTCCAATACCCTTAGCAACTATTTAATCTTTATCACCTTTAGAAGTTCTTTAGCACTATTGAATCTTAGAAATACTGATTGTTTTTCAAAGGCAGAGCCTTTATTTAGACTGTTTGCCTAAGTTTTCTTCTGCAGGAACATACTAGCAATAACTGTCATCTAAGAGAAATGTGTCAGGTAGTATATATCATATTTTTACTTCTGCTGTGTGTTGCTTTTGAATACTGATATATTGCTAAGAGTTATACAATGCTGCTTTTTAGAGAGTATTTTATATACTTTATGCATAAACAAATAGGAATTTAAAAACTGCTTTTTCTGTTATTTGAAGAATTTTGTAAAACATTCTGGGATTCAACTCAATTATTTTCTCTGCTATTTTACTAAGGTTTAAAGCTTCAGACTCTAGGATGAAAACTTTCCTTTTTTTTTCTAAAGACCAGTTATGCTTTTTACCAGTAGAAAGGCAGTTATAGGAAATGACCTTACCTGTCTGCACCTCTCAGAATATTGCAAATTCACTTACATAAATGCAGGCACTTAGCTAAGGGCTAGGAAGAAATAAAGTGAGTATAGGTGACCGGACTGAGAGTAATTTGAGAAGTTGACATTAAAGAGTAGAAATGCAATGAAGGTGCAACTTACAATTAAGGACTTCCAGAGATTTTTCAGAGGTTATCTTGCTGGGTATGATGTAAGCAGCATGTCAAAGCATTTAGTAAAGTCCTTGTTTGTGTCAGCCAGTGTTTCTGCTGGTGGAGGAAAAAACAGCTAGCCAGAAGATGAACTGGTTTAGAAGGAAATCTATTTTACAAAAAGGAATAGTGAAAATAAATTTGTGATGGGCTGCCTAATATAATAGAGGCAGAGTTTGGTAGTATTGGTAGTAGAGCCCTGAGGAAGACAGTCTCTAAGTTGAGGTGAATTCTCTGCAGGCATGCCCTGATTGGGAAGTCCTGACAGCTGATCTAGGGTTTTTTTTTTTTGTTTTGTTTTTTTTTTTTTTTACATTACATTAATTTGAACTTTTGACTCCATGTTGATAAGTTTTTCTAAGATGGGTCTGCAATCTTGGTAATGTTAACAAATTGCTAGGGAATTGCCAGCAGCTTCTTGTACCTAACCCTGGAGAATAATCTTCAGTGTCTAAGTATAACATGGCTGTTAGCTGAGGTCATAATAAAGTTGTCCCATGATAATGTATTTCATAATATGCCAAGTGTGTTTTATTTTTTCTTTGAAATGTTGGCTACTGGTGCAAGTGGATTTGCCAGATGACATGCACAAAAAGCTCTGGTACAGTGCCCTATGACTTATGCAAAAAAAATCAGGACCTCTTTCCATAACCTAATGAGTATTTTGTCTTAAATCTTCCCAGATGGTCTCTTTAAAACATCAGTGGTGCCTTCTGATTACCCAAGCCATCTGGAGTAGCCAACAGCTGCACACAAGGCAGGTGCAAACAGATTGGAATGAGCTAGAGTTCAAACACACATGTAATTTTTACCATTTAACTGGGACAAAGCACTAAAATCATTTTCAAGTATATTATCAGAATAGATAATAAAGGTTCTGCTTGTTTATAAATCATGTAATGCTGTGAAACTATGTCTCTTTCCTCTTCTTTGCCTATATAACATATTAGGGATACACTACAGTCTTCTTTCTCACAGAATAGGGGTGTTAGTGCATTTTGCTCATAGTCTTTGTTCCAGTGAGCAAGAACATTTACTATTCCAAAGTAAAACCAGTATGTCAAAGAAATTAACACACTGTACTCTACTTACACTTACTGTGTATATCATATAATTTCCCTACTTGGAATACTCTCTTCAGTAATGGAATCTAGTATTTTCAATATGATAGTCAATAATGCTTCTTTTTTTTTCTCTTTGTAGAGAAGCTCTTGAGATATTAAAATATATAATGATATTATGTACTGAGTTCATGGTAAAGAGTGTAGCTTTAAGGAAATTTTGCTTGTAAGGGTGAAATCTTTGGCACTGCTGCTACAATCTTGTATAACTATTTACTACGAGTACAGTAGCTGTACAGTTTAATAGCCCTAAAATGGTACGCTGGGCAT